CATGTCGGTTCCGGGGTCCCATTGTGGGTAAAACAAGAATAGACCAATATCCCCTATTCCCCCCCCCCTCCCCCCCCTCGCAAGCATGTCGTAAGAATCGACTAACTGGGGCTTCCCTTAAAGACTGAGTGCATCTGTCTGAGAGACAAGGAGCTAACAGTCTTCACACAAATAAGAAAGATCTGTACAACGGATGTGCACGCAACACTCAAGTTCTGGAACAAGACTAAAGTCCAGAAATGGACGAACAACCTGAAATTTCCGCCGGAGCCTACGGCGGCGCATATGGTCGATATCGTAGCTTTCCATATCTGGCGGTTCATTGTCACTTCTTTTAGGTCTTGGTTGTACATTAAGTCAATTATTGTTAATTTATTATAAATATATTATTTTTACCCTACTGCACAAATTAATTTCTAAACAACTGAAGAGACTAAAATATTAACGCTACAATATTACCGTGTCTCACCTAGAAAGAAGGTTGTCAGTGTAACCAGTACTGCAATGTAAGCACAAAGATTTCTTCCAGTCACGAACTGGCGAAGCGCATACAGTACGCAGAACTGATTGCGCGAAGGGACAAAATAGCACTGTGCCGTCTTGTCTGACTGTAAGCATGTTTACTATCACCGGTCTCATCCAATATTTGCTGTTACGGGAAAACGTACCTATCTGGTTTGCTTTTGAGAACAGACAGTTTTGACAGACAGACGGTAGTTAAGTGTCATTATTTGGTACTTGGAGATAAAAGTAATGACAGACCATAAAGATTCAGGGTAGAGTCAACATTTGGGTTACCAAGGGGGAAGAACGCAGTCAAAGAGCGGAGTGTTATTTAGGAGATATTATGGCTTATCAAAGAATAATCATAGAACACTGTGGGATTAGAAAATAAAAAGGATAAGACATAAGAACCGCTTAAAGGCGAAAGGATTGACTAATTCTTTGCTCTAGGTTTTTATCTCACATGGTGGGTCTCACGTAAAAAAACGATACTCCAAAGCTTCAACGATGATCCATACGCAAATCTGAAACCAACACGTTGATGCTCCTAAACATTTAACGAATGAAGTAACAGTTTGTAATACATAAAAGGGTTTAAATACACGAGTCAAAATGTGTATTTGAACACTTACATTTCAAGATAGAGACTTTGGTTGTTAGGCTTGTATTGCCAAACAGACGTTTAATTCCTTGTTGTTTCCCCTGTATCTTCTCCTTCTCGTCGTCTTCTTCCTCGTCCTCTTCCACCGTTTTATTATCAAAACCTTCTTCTTCTTCTTCTTCTTCTTCTTCTTCTTCTTCTTCTTCTTCTTCTTCTTCTTCTTCTTCTTCTTCTTCTTCTTCTTCTTCTTCTTCTTCTTCATCTTCTACTACATCTTCTCTTCTTCCTCCTCCCCTGCTTCTCCTCCACCACTGTCATCATCCTCATCATTATTATCATCGTCAACATCTTCTACTTCCTCTCCTTTTCCTCCCCATCCCTCCTCATCCTACTGCTCCTTCACCTTAGAAAATAAATAATTAGACACCCAGTCAATAGCATCATATACCCGAAGCTCCATTGGCACGAAAAGTTTAAATAAAATTTTCTTTTTGTTTACACAGTTCAGTACTTCAGTATTTCCTATCACGAAACAAACAGTGACGTACGGCGACAATCGTTCACTCTGTGGAGCCACAATTTCACAGCCATTAAGAACTATAGTCAGAACCAAAAGTCATACCGAACATTAAAAATCTGTAACACAGAAACCGTTCAGTATAAGTTGTTGAAATTTGGTATGCAGCCAGTTAATAATTTGTAATATTTTTTTCTTCTAAAATGTAAACCAACATTTAGTTTTCATTCTGCCTTATTTGCGATATGTGAAAAAAAAAAAAAAAAAAAAAAAAAAAAAAAACCAGACACCGGTTCAAAGTTTGAGGTTTGAAGTTTTAACAACGGATCAACACCATGGCAAACATAAGTGCTTCGTTCTTCTTCTAACTCAAGTCCTGAGTCCAAAGAAGCTCAGCACAGTGCACAAGCTCTGTATTACCGGCGAGAATCCTAAAATAATTTGAGTAGATTTGTAACACGTAAATTGCGCCGTTAGGCTGCTTTTTTCGATTTCCTACTGCCAAGGGATTTTTTTTACGTGCGAAACAATATACATGGGTGTCTGATCTCACTATCCAGAGACCAGGGGGAATTACTAGAAGTCCAAGTCCACGTGAAACAAATCAAAGCCCTTACCGGGGATTGAAACCCAACACCTCTAGCACTCAAGGCAGACACCGGGCCTCAAGACCACGCTGCTCCCACACCGATTCAAAGCAAACAGTCAGCATGCTTACATAAACTTGAGTAAATTTAGAAAGTGGAAATTTTCAACACATCAGATTGTAGGCGTGTGATATGCGTTTCACTCTCAGGTGGTCATCTTCAGCATTAGTCTTCCGTTAATTGCGGATTTTTCATTGAGTGTGGAATAGGCTATGACATCAATCAGCACGCATCGCTGCATATCTAAACTAATTTCCAAACAATCTTCACACGTGTGCCAATTACTGTATATTCTATTTTTCAGTGGGTACACAAATTATTAGTTAAGATCACAGAAAATACAGCATCTGGACAATTGTAAATTGCAGAATTGCAAGGACATAAATTACAACCACTAATAATCCCCTTGTGGGATAAAATTTTTCTTTATTGTGAAACCCTGCCCTAGCTCTTGCCAGGGGCCACAATATAGCTCGGCCATAAATATGGCATAAAGGCTGAACGCGGTTTCTAGGACCTCTCCACGGGTGATCCTCATCCACATGGTGGCACTTTGTGTCATCGGGTGTTTATCGCTTGTGTGGTGTCCTAGTGGGGTAAAATGTACTACTACTAAATTGTAAGGACATGGCAAAAACACGTTTTGATCCATACAGGAGTTTTGGATATATTTTTTAAGTGTGACGGCATGAGTTATGAAAAGCACTATAACGCTATGAATAAGTGGCCTCAATTCCTTATTGTTTCTGCAGACAATCATTGCCATTCCCATGATTTATTTACAGAATATCAAGGACTAAACTAGTGTAATCAGCTGTGTATTTTGTTTTCTGTTAAAACTACCACGAACTGAGAACTTGATAACAATCGATTCACATGCCATTATAAATCGATTAATACGAATCGATAATTCCATTAGACCTGACAGCTGCTAGGAATCTGCCACAGATTTATTTGGGCTCATTTACTGTGGAGTACGAGATCCTCGGCTAGATGTACGTCTTGTGTCCGAACTCACTCATCCACTCACTCACTCACTCACTCACTCACTCACTCACTCACTCACTCACTCACTCACTCACTCACTCACTCACTCACTCACTCACTCACTCACTCACTCACTCACTCACTCACTCACTCACTCACTCACTCACTCACTCACTCACTCACTCACTCACTCACTCACTCACTCACTCACTCACTCACTCACTCACTCACTCACTCACTCACTCACCACTCACTCACTCACTCACTCACTCACTCACTCACTCACTCACTCACTCACTCACTCACTCACTCACTCACTCACTCACTCACTCACTCACTCACTCACTCACTCACTCACTCACTCACTCACTCACTCACTCACTCACTCACTCACTCACTCACTCACTCACTCACTCACTCACTCACTCACTCACTCACTCACTCACTCACTCACTCACTCACTCACTCACTCACTCACTCACTCACTCACTCACTCACTCACTCACTCACTCACTCACTCACTCACTCACTCACTCACTCACTCACTCACTCACTCACTCACTCACTCACTCACTCACTCACTCACTCACTCACTCACTCACTGAGTTACAAGGGGATTTGGCCAACGCTTAACACTCAAGGGATAGGCGAGACAGATATACAGTACAATCAGAATTAACTGGTGCCATCGGAACGGGAACTCTGCGCTTGCTGCTGAAGATGGGGTCAGAACTCTTATGAGAATGCCACGAGTTCTGTGATTCGAGTCTTATTCAACAGTCAACATTCCTCCTCATTCTTACGGCACATTCTAGTTTCCCCCTTCTCCTGATGTGACCAATAATATAGATTACTTCTTTCGCTCCAATCTGCTTTCCGCTGGCTAGAGAATCAGCTGTACACACAGGCCGTATTATAACTGACTTATAGAGCATTTTGACAAAGGTGAAGACATGCATGCTTCATGCAGAGTGGCAAGAATCACCTCAGAGATCCCGGGTGGTTAGCATCCTTTGGATATTTTCTCCAGGTCACGCCGGTGTGTTTGGAAATGAGCAGGCAGATAGAAGTCTCTTTGCACCACTTGGTGGTGAGCTGATGTATGGCAAGCTAGAGATTGTGAGGGCCCTTCGGGAACGGGTGAACAGTGCCGAGGCGCAGATAGATCCTTACTGTCTGAGGAGAATGGCACTTTGAGGAGTTAGCAGGGGATCTGGCCAACACTCAACACTCAGGGGAAGGATGAGACGGATATATACGCAGACGGTTACTGGTGCCATTGGAATTGGAACACTTCGCTTGCTGCTGAAGATGGATGGAGACGCAGCATTTATGGGAGTGTTTCGAGTGCTGTGATGTCGATTGTAAATTGAACATTCAACATTCTTTCGCACGAAATCGCACAAACTATTTCTATACGCACCGAGCAATTATACCCAACATGCTAAAACGACGTACGTCACTTCCCGCAGCAACTAGTGTAAAACTTCTAAATGTATATTATTTCCTTCAATCGTCTGTCAAAGCTAAAATTATTCTAGATATAATTTTACAGGTTGACAGTTTATATTTACTTACATTTAACCACACACAAATACTGTAAGAATTAGCAAACAGCAAATATTCTGTAAGTCAGTCTTTGTCAACGTCAAAGAAGACATGTTTAAAGTAATGGTTCCTTGAGACACAGAATTTCTGTGCAGACGGCCTCTCTGTTGCTGGAGGTCTCAGAAAAGATATTGTTATGGGGTCAGCCGTTGCAAAACCGCTGATAAGAAGACGCGGTTGGGAGAAAACGAAAGATGTAGCTGTGAATACGCCCAATTGGAACGTGGATGAAAATGTCAACGACAATTGTCAGCCCAGTGTGGGATGTCTGCGGGATTCTCCGGCCGGCGTTAACAAGATTTCTCATCTAATCAACGGGTTACAGGGTAGGTTTGTGGTCGTAGGTAGCGTTGCTTCTTTTTCTTCTTTGATCTTTTTGTCAGAAATAGATATCAGGAGACTGGTTGCCTTAATGAAAGCTATCGTGCAGTATATATCTAGCAGTGTACCATACAGCGTTCTCTTCTTCTTCTTCTTCGCGTTCACCGGCTGTAAATTCCAGTGGAAAGTTCTGGTTGTTCATCTACCTCTGCACTTAAGACTTGTTCCAAAACCTGAGTGTTGTCTGCACTTCCGTTTTACACATCATCATCATCATCATCCTCATCCTCATCATCATCATCTTCTTCTTCTTCTTCTTCTTCTTCTTCTTCTTCTTCTTCTTCTTCTTCTTCTTCTTCTTCTTCTTCTTCTTCTTCTTCTTCTTCTTTTTCTTCTTCGCGTTCACCAGATGTAAACTCCGGTGGAAAGTTTTGGTTGTTCATCCGCCTTTGGACTGAAGACTTGTTCCAAAACCTGAGTGTTGCCTGCATATCCGTTTTACAGATCAGACTTATTTGTACACAGACTGTTGGTTCCTTGCCTCTCATGCACATGCACTCAGACTTCGAAGATACACCCCAGTGAGTCGACTCTTACTACATGCGTGTTGGGGAGGCAAAGGATCCATATTGTTTTACCCCACAATGGGGTCCAGGAACCCACACGGGAAGCAGTGTTGTCTTCCTCGATGTTGTAACAGAATACACCTGATTGTTATGGGATCGTGCTTGATAATTTTAAAGTGCTTGGGTTCGATCCCAGCTGCGGGCGATTTGTGCAGCGAACTGATTTGCATTGGTTTCGTCAGTGGTATCTAGCGCTGACCATTTAGGAAGCAACGGCAGACTACTGAATGTTGAATGTTGAATTAGGAATCAACATCACAGTACTCGGGACACCCCCATAAGCGCTTCATCCCCGTCTTCAACAGCAAACGAAGAGTTGCAATTCTAATGGCACCAGTAACTGTCTGATTAAATAAACGTCTCGTCCTTTCTCTGAGTGTTGAGTCTCTGCCAGATCCCCTATAAAACTCCTTGCAGCGCCATTCTCCTGAGACCGTAATGATCTATTTGTGCCTCCGCACTGTTCACACGATATAGAAGGGCCCTCACAACATCCAGCCTGTCATACACATCAAGTGGTGCAAAGCCGGCCAGCTTATTTCCTAAAAACAGCATGATCTTGAGTAAAAATCTAAATGACACTAACTACACGATACCTCTGAAGTGATGCTTGCCAATCTGCCCGAAGCATGCCTGTCTTCACCTTTCTCAACATACTCTGTGAGTCGGTTATAATCACAGCATGTGTGAACAGCTGATTCTTAAGCCAGCGGAAGGCAGCAGTGACTGCCTCCACCTCCATTCTCATACTAGACTTTGTGATAGACTCCTGAATGTAGAACTGCCTAGTGAAATCTCAAACAGCCAAAAATAATTACGGGGTTGGCCTAGCAACATCCTATACTGTAAGGGATAGGCAACTAACTGTACATGATCGTAGTGATTTTGATCACTTGACTTGAAAAGGAGTGGTAATTTCATTCATTCGATTGTTTGTCGTGGTGATTTATTCTTCTTTTGCGAACTGACTGGCTGGCTTGGGGGGGGGGGGAGGGGGTGGGAGGGGTCGCTACGTTTAACCAGCACCCATCAGAAGGGGGGGGGGTTGCTTTTAGTTATAATTGTGACTAGATGTATGTGCGCCATATAAAATGGCTTAGCACTGCTCAGCATCAAGTAGCCCTGAAAACGAGGACTCTTGCTGCATTAATTCGACCAAATGAGACAACCTAAATACTGGCCCGACCGACGACGAAGAAGAGGAGGAACGGTTTACTCCCTGAAAATTATTGGGGGAAGGGGGAACGTAATGTGCTTGATTATACCCCCCCCCCCCCACCCCCGGTTGGGGCACCCCTGAACATTTGACGTATTGATATTAGCACACCTGTGATGTGTATGTTATATCCCTAAACCTATACGCACGTTGTCCTTTCTACAGACTTCATTGTCTGCTCACTAAATTAAAAAGATAAATCACGCATTGGTGAACATTCGCGTCTGTTCTGACAGCCTGTTTTACTTGTTGACCGGTTGCTAAATTGTTATCAATTGTTCAATCTGGTTATTTAGAGGCACTCGGAATTCTTTATTTTTGGCATATCCTGGACGTGAATGCTGAAGTTATCACATTTTGTTCTATGGATGTAACTTTATTGATCGTCGCGGCGTGGTTTATGAGGCAGCTAAACATTGGTTACATGCAGTGTTGCCACTTTGGATGTTTTACATCCGGATTTAGATGTTCTCCCTTCCATTTAGATGGCGTTTTTGACGTTTAGATGGTAGATGTTTCTCTAGACGTTTTTCGTTTGGAGTGAATTTGTCAAATCTAACCTAAGAAACAGGATGAAATGTGACCTCTTAAATGCTATATTGACAATAAAATTCTGCCTGATAAGAGTAGGAAAAGTCTGTTCCACTTATCAGCTTCCTGACTGAACATGAACAGAAATTGGAGCAGCTAAAGCATACTAGAGTCATTTTGGATCTGAAGCTTCAACTTCATCATTTAAGCTAAATTTATCCTGTAGATCTTGTAAGGCAGACTTCAGTAAAGATGAGGACATGATTCTATAGGTCAAGTCATATCAATTGCTATGTAATTTGTCACTCTTTCCATTTGGATGTTATTTCTAGATGTTTTCCACGCAAATTTAGATGTTTTTAGATATTTTTTGACTCTGTTTTGGATGTTTTTTGTCAAAGAAAAGTGGCAACACTGGTTACATGCACTTTTTCCTTCCTTAGGGGTCTCCGTGATAAAGTGGTCAAGCCGTTTGCCTCACACCCAGAAGGCCGTGGGCTCGTTTCACGGCAGCGCCGTTCAGTTTACGAGTGCAGTTTTTAAGTAGATCCAACTGTTCCTCCGCCGGAACTACGGAGGTCGTGCTGTGTGCGACGGTCTCGGCAAACAGCTAGCTGTTCTGCGGAAGAGAGACTGAGCCATATTGTATAACACTCGGTGCTACTCACCTTTCTTCCTATAGTCAATGCTGTGTGACGTTGGTGGCCATAGCCTATCCTATACACTTCTGTCTCATGTTCTTTCAGTCAGTTCTGGCACAGATGATCTCTCATGCCATTATGTTTAACTGTCCAGCATATTCTCTCTCGGTCTCCTTCTGCCTCATTTCACCTCAAACTTTCCTACCACCAGGACGTACTCAGCCCCCCCCCCCCCACCCCTTTTCACAATATGACGAATGAATGTAGACTATCTTCTTCTTCTTCTGACGTGGTCTATCTTCTTCTGACGTGGGCTATCTTCTTCTGACGTGGGCTATCTTCTTCTGACGTGGGCTATCTTCTTCTGACGTGGGCTATCTTCTTCTAACGTGGGCTATCTTCTTCTGACGTGGGCTATCTTCTTCTGACGTGGGCTATCTTCTTCTGACGTGGGCTATCTTCTTCTGACGTGGGCTATCTTCTTCTGACGTGGGCTGTCTTCTTCTGACGTGGGCTATCTTCTTCTGACGTGGGCTGTCTTCTTCTGACGTGGGCTATCTTCTTCTGACGTGGGGAAACAGTTTCTCTTTGTGAGTCAGTTTTTTTCAAGACATAACTCATTGTGTCTGTCCCAGGCGTTCACATCATTGGTTTATAAAACTAAATCTCCACTGCTTCTGTATAATTATGTACATTTTAGGATGATGCAAAACGAACCGCAGTTTTTGGTTTTACTAGCAATTTTATGTTCAGTAGTTTGCTATTGCTGCTCTGAACTATACTTATATCGTGGGGGAAAATCAAAACAAACACCCCGCTATCAAATCTCTGCAGTTGACTTCGAACCTTGGTATTTAGTGATCAAATACGTTCACAACCTATAAGCTAGAGGCCAATAATGCCAGGACCTACGTAGCACATACCGAGGCTCACACTCGACGCTTTAAAATCTGACGCTGAAAGACAAAACAAGACCGAAAAAAAAAGATGTGCATGTAATGGGACGTTAGGCATTGCAGAACATCGTTAAGAACGGAAAGATCAACCGCAGAAGAGTTAGACCAAGCGAGACAATGCTTGGCGGCCTGAAGCGATGTCATAGTGGAATATCATTCTAAGGGGCTGTGTGATCTCGAGGCATGGTGTCCGTCTCGAGTGCTAGAGGTTCCGGGTTCAATCCCTGGCTAGGATTTGTTCACGTGTAATTGGACTTTAGTAATTGCCCCTGGTCTCTGGGTAGTGAGATCGGACGCCCGCGTGCATTGTTGCGCAAGTAAAAAAATCCTTTGTCAGTTGGAAATCGAAAAGAGTAGCCAAACAGCACTGCCCCGGGCAAACTTTGAAGTTAAACATCTACCCAAAGTATTTCAAGATCCTCACCATAGCTACGGAGCCTGTGCACTGTACTGAGCTTCTTCGGACTCAGACTTGAGTTAAAAGAAGAAGGGAGCACTTATGGGTTACTACCCGTGTGCCATGACCATTGATCCGTTGTTTAAAACCTCAAACGCAATAGAATTCATTCACAATACCAAAGACCGAACTCTGCTGAGAGACACGGTCGCCCACGACGTGGAGCAGGGCACACGATCATAATTATGATGACTGTGTCAATTACAACCTGCTTTCATGTTATTTCTTCCGTGTAATAATTCTGTTTAATCCGTATTACGTCACCCAATCTTCGTCATGGCACTTCTGTTTATGCCGTCCGCACGTCAAATAGGCCACTTGCAACAGGTATCCGGAAGATTTTTGACTTAAATTAAGGCGCGTATAACAGTCGAGTGACTGATAGCGTCTTATCACCTACAAGACTCAAATGACAGAAATCATCACATACCATACAACGGTCAACTTTTTTGTCTAATCTCACCATCAAGTCTTACTCCTGCTTGAAGTGCTTCCTGCGTAGTCATTTTGATGTCCGGTATGGAAAATCACTATGCGGATTCCCGTGCCGCCCCCTTTCCTCCCTTGGGTGGTAGCCGGCTTGAAGTGCACGCTACTCTCAGTGATTTTAACCCATGCATTCTGGTCCAGGTAGACTGCTCGTAGTGCACGCGACTCTCAGTGATTTTAACCCATGCATTCTGGTCCAGGTAGACTGCTCGTAGTGCACGCGACTCTCAGTGATTTTAACCCATGCATTCTGGTCCAGGTAGACTGCTCGTAGTGCACGCGACTCTCAGTGATTTTAACCCATGCATTCTGGTCCAGGTAGACTGCTCGTAGTGCACGCGACTGTCAGTGATTTTGACCCATGAATTCTGGTCCAGGTAGACTGCTCGTAGTGCACGCGACTGTCAGTGATTTTGACCCATGAATTCTGGTCCAGGTAGACTGCTCGTAGTGCACGCGACTGTCAGTGATTTTAACCCATGAATTCTGGTCCAGGTAGACTGCTCGTAGTGCACGCGACTCTCAGTGATTTTAACCCATGAATTCTGGTCCAGGTAGACTGCTCGTAGTGCACGCGACTGTCAGTGATTTTAACCCATGAATTCTGGTCCAGGTAGACTGCTCGTAGTGCACGCGACTGTCAGTGATTTTAACCCATGCATTCTGGTCCAGGTAGACTGCTCGTAGTGCACGCGACTGTCAGTGATTTTAACCCATGCATTCTGGTCCAGGTAGACTGCTCGTAGTGCACGCGACTGTCAGTGATTTTGACCCATGAATTCTGCACCCAATTCAGGACCTCCTGCAAACTGGGTTAGGATTTAATTTTGTGGTGAAGTTTATAAACATATATTAAAGGCATCCTGAAAAATCATGCCCTGGGCCTCCCCCCCCTCTCTCTCTCTCTCTCTCTCGCGCTCTCTCTCTCTATCTTTCTCTGTGTGTGTGTGTGTGTGTGTGTGAGCGCGAGCGCGGATAGGTCATACGAGAAAGGAAACACGGTATTAGCACCTAATACTTCACATCCATACTGCAGTGTCTGCTATTGAGCTATCTTTACCCTTTTCTTCCCTACAGCAGCAAACGAGCCCTTCACGAGCTCCCCCGAGAGCATATCCTCCAGCACTCTCAACGAAATTATTGTAACGACACCGGTCAACACTCCCTGCAGAACTGGAGGCCCAAGCCCTCGGAGCATGTCAGTGATCAGAGGCCTATCCTTCCTTGACAGCTGTTTTATGTCGAGCATATGCATTCCCACATACCGGACAGCTTCTCCGGAAGAACCCCTGCAGCCGCGGAACACTCCACTTAGGAGGAACCCAGACCTGGAGCAAGACACGCCCAGCGAAACAAGCAGCACGAGTCAGTCGTGTCGGTCTCCGAGAACTGACACCTCGACGGAAACAAACGTCCAGCTGGTAGAAGTGGCGGACAATGCATCCTCGCCCGAAGGCAACGATCCGGCGGCTTCCAAAACCCAGGCAACAGGTCTCAGCCCAGACCAGATAGGAAATATTCGGAAGCAGCTCTACACGGAGGGACTGAATCCGGCAGAGAGGGAAGGCGGCGTGGCATTTTTCATCCCTGTAACGGAAGATGGTATGCAGCCATTGACAGATGGGGCGACAGTCGCAGAACGCCTGACCAAGACCAAAAAGTAAGTTGTACATCTTACACTGTCGACCCGCGTGTGTCATGCAGAGGCGCCGAAATAAAGAAAACATTGGAGGGGAGCGCTTGGCGCTTTAACAATTTTTCTAGAATGGGGGAGCTCAATGACTCTAAGACTATGTCAAGTGCCTAATAATAATAATAACATTAATTTATTGAAAAGGAAATAAATAGTTCTTAAAAAGATAACTTCTATTCATGGTTTTCAGCAGCAAAATTACGAGGTACAATGCACAGTTTCCAGACAAAGACTCAGAAGCAAAGGTGGTTATAAAACACTGAAAATCAATTGGCTATGAAAGCACATAGAACTGGAGTATTAGCTAGAGAAAGAGAGACCTTTATGCATGTCGTGAAGAGCGTCGTTCTGTAAAGGAACGGCTGATTGATGATGATTATCCATGGTGGGGGGGGGGGGGCAGCTTAGCACGCTTACAAATTGGGGTGAGGGGGGAGTGGTGGCAAAGCTGGGGCTCGAAAGAGGGGGGGGGGAGGAGGGAAACCATGTGATGACAAGAAAGGCATGTGAGAACATGGGGAAATAAGTAGAAGATTAGCCAATGACAGACGAGGTGGAAAATATTTAGTAGAAATAATTGCAATATGAAGAACTTATATCTGTTGAGAGACACGGATACCTTCTCCAAAGCGGCTCCCTGTTTTCCTGGGAAAAAAAAAAACAGTAACAATTTTGCAGAAAGGGAAATATTTTGGAGGACTTCTCAATCGCCAGATAGTGATATTGTCATCAGGATAAGACTGAAACCTACATGAAACCTATACAATACAAAGCATTAGCCAGAGCGAGAGGCCTTCTCCGCAAGCACCATGTCTCGGAGAAACAAACCTAACGGAAAGCGCAACGGACAGAGGAAACAACCCACTGACAGATCTACCCGATCTAACTCGGAGGCCAGGAAGACGCAGACAGTTACTACCGAACCACAGGAAGACGCCCCGACTACCAGTGAGGCCCTGAGTGACGTCCCAGCGTCACCTGAACCAACACAGCCAAGTCCACAAACATCTCCAGATCGACGAAAGACAGGCAGCTATGAATTTCCTGCCACAATATTTCTACGACAGACCAGCTCGGGCCGGACAGCAATCACTACACTGGCAACGCTAACATTGATCAATATGCTGGAGATCATATTAGGCAAGAGGGCAATCGCAAAGATTAGGAGAACTCGAGAAGGAGTGATAGCTTCACTAAACAGAACCAATCGCACCTCAGACATGCTGGATGACATCCAACACGACGGCAAGAAAGAACTCCGACTATCCGAGGAGATAACTGTGACGGCTACAATCTTCCAGAATGTAAGACGCTGGGTGATCCGAAGAGTCAACCTGCAATGGAGCAATGAAGAAATTCTGCAACAAATAAGGAAAGAAAACCCCAATGTCAACATCAACCAAGCAGAGAGAATGGGCTCAAAACGGCATCAATTGCCAGTGGCGGTGATAACATCGGAAGGAGAACACATCCCGGATAAAGTCTACCTAAATCAAAGAATGCAAAGACCAGAGCAATACGTGCCACAGGTGATCCAGTGCTCTCGTTGCCAAAAAGCATGGGACTCCCGGGCCACTTGTGTGAGCGAACATGAAGTATGCCGATACTGTTAAACAACCCCATGCCTTCAACAATTGCCCGCTGGCAAAGCTGGACACAGACTTTAGGTCTCCCAATCTGAACAGGAAGTGCGCAAACTGCTACGGCCAGCACAGCACCAGGTACCTGGGGTGCCCTTATCTGCAACAATGCAGAGAAATAGCAACCACGGCCATACGGGAAAAGATTCCATACCATGAGGCCCGCAGAAGACACGAAGCAACCCAAGGCATAACTGCAGCCATTACCACCAAATTGAGCAACGAGGTGGCTCAACTCAAAAGTGACATCCAAGCTCTCAGAGACGAGAAAGACGCATCCAAATCCCAACGAGAGGAAGACAGAGATGAAATAACAGGCCCGAGAGCTATAATGCAGGCGACTCTTGACACCCAGAAACGGATGACAGCAGAGATGACGAAATTCAAGGAGGACATCATGAATGCACTGGCCACTATCCAGACACAAAAGGAACAACCAACTAAAGCAAGGGAAGACGAGGCGGGCATCAATGATATGCGGGATAACCAACTTCTCGCGAAAGAAGTCGCAATGATCAAGAAGGCACTAGCTGAAACAGAGGAGAAGTTACGAAGAGCATACGAAGAAAACAACAGACTTAATAAGGAACTGCAAGCAACCAACAGAGTGATGGAAGAAAGAGAGAAAGCACGGAAAGAGGCAACAAGAAGGCAGCAAATACAGGGAGCTGAGACCCAGAAAAAGCCACATCAAACACCAGATAAGAAAACTTCAGCGACGCTGATGAAACAGTTTCCGGTGGCAACTGCTGACCAAATAAACCAACGCATCATGGAGCTGGAGGACCCGAACTTCTTTAACTCAGAACTGCAAGATGATGATGTTCTTTGGTCATCACCAGAGGAACCATATCGACAGCCAAAACCTGAAGTCAAACGAGGTCGACACCGTTACCCCAAACACTAATACCAGATACGACACAACCAAGGCCAAAATTACCGAAACCCTATGTAGGAGCAGTACTTTACAACAAGGATACGAGCAAATCACCAAATAATACCAGACCTCACCAGTATTATCATCAGTACCTGCCCAAGTCAATCGACCGCCGGTCCTTATTAGGATAGGCAATTTACTTTCCCCGAAAACAACAAACAGCCAGGGAATACCACAATAAATCGATTCAACATCCAATCATCTTGAGCGCAGCACAGGGCCAGCCAAATCACAAAAGCAACAGCAAGAGCGGAAACCACTACAAATAGAAAGCAACAATATTGAACACAATCCAAAATCAAATGAGATCGAGACCAGAAAACGTCACCACAAATATAGCTGAAAGGAAAGTGAGCAGAAATGTGAGCGGACCTAGCTGAAAGTGGTCAACGAAAGAGAATTTGAATTTGAATGAGAGGTAAAAAACAGGCGGTTGGAATTTTTAGCAAAGCTGTTTTTAGCAAACAGAAAGCCTAGCGTATAACGTCATAACATCTAGTATGAAAATGGAGATAGCTTTCCAGTGGCTTAAGAGCAACGCACTCCGACAACTTGTAATTGTAGCGAAATCACAGAGCATGCTTTGGAAAACACAAAAATGACATTCACGCATCAAGCCGCTTACATCACTTGACAAGAATGAGATCAGAAGCATATAGTGGTTTTTCTGCCAAAAAAATTTGGGTGTACGTGAAAATGACAAACAAGACTGGTAGATTAGATGCTGCCGCTCCTCTTGACGGTCAGCTATTTTATAATAAAGCGGACGATCACGGTCAAGTGGACAGGGGACAAAAGGGTTAAGTTAGTTGTGTTTCCTTTACAGGACAGTGCAGAACCAACCCCATCATGTTTTTGCCGTTGTGGTTTTCTACGCAAATTTTACGTTCAGTAATTTGTCATTGCCTACTGAACGATCAACTTTTTGTACCACTGTCGAAACCAACATAAGACAAATCGTCCGCAGCGGGGATCGAACTCGGCACCCGGCGCTACGAAGCGCGTTCGCAACGCCTAAGCCACAGACGCCGACAACACAAGGGTATCCCTGCCCCAAAAGACTAATTCAGCAGAAGATGAGCATAGTTCCTGGAAAAATTTCAATACAGAGGGGGAAACATAGGCGGACTTTAAATCAGTGGCAACTGATACTATTGGTATGCCGATTTTTTTGTTGACTGTTGAGAAAGGAGACGGAGCACGCGTAGGAATGCCCCGAGTACAGTGACGTAAATTTATTCATTCATTGTCGTTTGTTGCAGGGCCAGTTTAAACTACGAAGAACGAATGATCCTCGCCAACATAAACAGACAGACCCAGCTCTTCAAGAGAAAACAGTTTGCAGTCAGGGACATTCGCAACGTTAGAGGGGCAGCGTCCACCACAGACATGACTGACCGCATGAAACAATTCGACCAAGAGAACGTGGACTTCGACGCCTTTCTCAATAATTTCGCCAATGATGACCTAGATACTGATGAACCGTATACCAGAAAGACTTTTGGCAGCCGGAGTCTGGGGGCTACAGATACAACGGGACGGAATATAAACAGAGAATGTGATATGTTTCTCGCGGGTGATGATAGTTCTTAAATCCCACGCAAGTTTCCACGTCTTATATACAGGTTCGTGTTGTTATTTTCTGCTGTAAATCTGCTTTGTAAAACATGTATTGATGCATCTTGTTGATTATCTCATTCCATAAGTACCCTTATGCCTCGCTAGTTTCGAGGTAAGTATAAATATCAAGAGAATGCCCATTTGTGTGCAGTGGCGACCGGGTTGTCCGTTGGCTGGCTAGTAGGCGGCCTCGTTGCCGGTCGGGACAGTATTTGGGTCTTTCTCCTAAGATCGCATCAACTACGCTATCCAGTTTCGTCATTTTTAGGACGAAATTTTTTGTTATTTGAAGCCCCACCCTGGCTTTTGCCAGGGGCCGCAATATAGGCAGGCCATAAATATGGCCAATTGTCTGAACGCGGTTTCTGGGACCTCTCCACGGCGATCCTCATCCACATGGTGGCACTTTGTGTCATCGGGTGTTTATCGCTTGTGTGATGTCCTAGTGGGGTAGAAAGTCAGTCAGTCAGATCGCATCAACACTACAAGAATCCTTTTCATGGCTTCTTGGTGGCGAGTTATGTTAGGCCATTTAAATGGCTTATAACCAAAAACACCACCTTGGGAGATGCTAGTTGAACGTCAAGATTTGTTGTTGCTGTTGTTGTTGTTGATGCTGTTGCTCAAAATCGGATCGGATCGGAACCATTTGTGTTTGCTTTCAGAATGGGATTTCCCATAGATTGGTATTCTAATCATTTACGTGATCAATAAGTCTTTCTATTTTCTTTCTCTCTATCTCCGTGTGGGTTTCAGGACCCCGGTAAAGGGATTGGGGGGGGGGGGGTGGAGGGGGGAAGGATAGACTTACTGCTTACCCAAAAGCATGTCGTAAGAGCCAGCTAACTGAAAGTTTTCTTTAAAGTTGGAGTGCAACAGCCTGAGGGGCAAGAACCAACAGTCTGTATACAAATGAGTCAAATCTGTTAAAAGGATCTGAACACAACTCTCAGGTTGTGGAACAGGACTAGAGTGTACATAAAGCTGGAAACTCCGTAGCTCCAAGGATGACTCCCCTGAATCTCTGACACAGATTCACTCACAGAGACTTGAATCCAATGACTTACAGAGCACGATGCAAACATGCTGACCATTTCGCCAAGGTGTTAGTAAGAAAAACTTGGGTACTTAATTTATAACTTACCCCTGACGTCACGACAACGTCACGGGAGACATTCCCAATAAATTCTAGGGTGTTCAGGTTGTAGTTTCTCGCGCATTATCTACAGGCAAGTTTAGGGTTAGGGTTAGGCTTAGGGTTACGGTTAGGGTTAGAAGACACTAGATGAACACTGAAAAACAGCACCACACAACAGCACACTTGCACCACTTGAAATAATGGACTATCAGGTCAGCTGTGGATTTCCCACGGGAATTTCGTGTTAGGGGTACGTTATAAAATAAGAACCAAAACTAGAGAATATCCATGAATCTAGAGACTTGGCTTCTCTCTCTTTATGAGCCCTTGCGCGGTAAACTGGAAACAGAATGGCTAAATAAGTGAACAGTGAGTAAAGTAAAGGACCCTTTACTTCGCCTTCAGATGTATTAGGCATATAGGGCTAGATTTATATTTTACAGAACAATCGGCACTGGGGAAAAAAAAGGGGGGGGGGGGGTCAACATCAAATCGGCCGCGTTTACTTTCCAGGACTTACATGGTTCCCATTTAAGGCTGGGTTGATCTAGAAGGAAAGGTCACTTTGATAAATGTTCTGAATTCACTACCTTTTGGATCTGCTTGAGACAACGGCATCAGAAAATGGTAAGCCATCGGTCAGAAGTGTGTATTAAATCAAAACATACTTGCAGAAATCGGTGGCAGTGCAATAAAAGAAGACTTTCTGATCACCCTCCACCTCTCCCCCCACTGGGTACGTTGAGAATGGACACACTGAGATGGCTGCTACGTCGGAGGACGAAGCACGAATGGGTTGGACCGATGTGCTAGAAAGTCGATACGGACAACAAATAACAAGATAGATAAGTGGCTATGCACTTGCTGCATGTCTTGGGTTCGAATCCGAGTCGAGTTATCAAAAAAAAAAAAAAAAAAAAAACTTATTGTCCTTCCTCACATTTTAGGTAGAATGACTTCTGACTGGGCAACATAAACATTTCCCGAATAGTAATAGCTACTAGCATGATGCTGACCACATTATCCAAGGAGTTTCATTGTTCTATAAAATTGTAAGTCAAACGGGATGAATTCAACAAGAGTAAAGAAATAAGAGAAATATCTAGACAATTACCAGTATCAGTAGTAGTTATAAGACAGAGGAGATCAAGCCGTACAGGACATATTCTAAGAAACGACGAACCGAGAATCATCAAACAGGCACTGAAATGAGAAATAGATGGACTGAGGAACAAGGACATCGAAGGGAACCCCCAAGACGGACGTTGATGAGAGAACTAAAGGTGCTGGAGTGGACTGCATCCATGGTATTGAAGCGATTGCACAGGGTGGAATGGAGTGGAGAAAAAGTTCGATGGCTGTATGTGACAAATAATGACACACGACGATAGTAAAAATATAACGAATTCAGATATTAATCTAGATTCACAATGCAAGATGAGCTAGAAAAGGGTATCTTATCGTTAGTCATAATTTATTCGGCCATGTTATGAGAAGAGGGAAAATGGAACATGTTGTGACCACTGGAAAGGTCTGTGGAAGGAGGGATGGAGGAAGACACAGAGAGAGGATTCTTGACAGTCTTGTTGCATGGCATGGAGGTGTGTCAGCACACGAACTAATACATGCTGCAGGAGATCGCAGATTGTGGAGAGGCATGATCATTCACACCAGTCGGCAAGGTACCTGATGATGATGATGATATAGTTAGTACTCTTTCACATTTGTCATTTGCAGATTACTGAATCCGGACGCAACAAGAAACCCAACATTGCGCCACCAATAAAAACGACTAGGAAAGGGGTGCAGGGACTCTCTTGTGGTATCGATGTCTATGCATCAACTGTCGCCGGTTTCTTTTGTGTCGAACAAGAAGGACACATAGGCCAATATTTATATATATCTATATATTTTATATGTTATACACATGTCAGTGTCGTGTACATTTAATTTCATATTTATATATGCAAGAATAAACAAACAGCGGCTTATAAAATATGTTCAGTTGCATTTAATTTGCTCTTTGCGTGTTGTGCCCGTGTTTATCGGACAACGTTTGTATCCATCTTGTTTTTTTGTCCTACTTGTAGTATTTTATGTAGATTTACCACCTGAAACCCAACACTTTGCGAGCGTAGATTCATTCCACTTAACAGCTTGTTTCAAACAATTTAAACAGAAAGAAAGTTCACAACAACAAAATTAGCAGTAATTCAAGTAAACTAGATGTTAAAACTATATAACAATGCTTTGAAAGGCAATAAACATTTCCAGCTGTTAAACAAAACACTTGAAAACAGCGTTTAGCCATTGAAGTCAGCCTAATCACGTCACGTGTCCAGACTAGCCGCGTGGCCTGTAAATAGAGCAGACTTTGCTGTTATCAGGGAACACATAATCAGTTTCTTGAACAGACAGAATAACCGATGCTATACCCCGGGCCAGACAACAGCTCACTGGAAGAAATCGAAGCACTGTGAGATTTTGGAACTGAAATAATGCTTCATAGACTATACAAAAGCATTTGACAGTGCGAAGCATGAAGAAGTAATAAAACTATTAGAAAAATTAAACATTGATGGAAAAATCTACGAATAATAAAGAATATGTATTGTCAGCAAACAGCAGCTATAAGAATTATTTAGGTACATTTCAAAGCATAAAAATGGGCGTACGACAAGGATGTGTACTATCGCCTGATTTGTTTTCAATATACAGTGAATATATAATGAGATCTTTAATTGATATGCCCGGAATTGTGGTTGGTGGGCGCAATATAAAAAATTTACGTTATGCTGACATAGTCTTGATAGCAACAAGTCAGAAAGAACTACAGGAAATGATAGACATTGTGGTGTTAGAAAGTGGAAGAATGGGCCTTAGTTCGAATAATGGGAAGACAAAAGTAATGGTGGTATCAAAGATATGAATTGTAATAAAAGTTGATGGTGTTATTTTAGGACAAGTACATAAATTTAAGTATCTGGGTGCGTGGATAACATCATATGGAAGATGCATAACTGAAATAAGAAACAGAATAGGACAGGCAAAAACTGCATTTTATAAAATGAAGAACATCTTGTGCAATATATCCTTGTCATTGAGAGTTAGAAAAAGAATTCTTGCTTGCTACATACATCCAGTTTTAACATATGGCTGTGAATCTGAACAATCGGTAGGCAGTCCAAACAATTTCTTGAGGCCTCAGAGATGTTGTTTTACAGAAGAATGCTTAGAATACCTTGGACAGCCAAGAGGTTTTGAAAGAGGCGGGAGCCCGAAGATAACATATCACAGACATCAGAAGGAGACAGTCATAATTTTTTCGGCCATGTTATGAGAAAAGGGAAAATAGAACATGTTTTGACCACTGGAAAGATCTGTGGAAGGAGGGATAGAGGAAGACAACGAGAGAAGATTCTTGACAGTCTTGTTGCATGGCATGAAGGTGTCGGCACACGAACTGATACATGCTGCAGGAGATCGTGGATTATGGAGAGACATGATCGCCCACGCCAGTCGGCAAGGCACCTGATGATGATGATAATACCACTAGGGTAACGAGACGCATGTTGTCAGATGTGGTCAAGTTTCTTTGAGAGCAAGCGAACAATGCGGATTCAAGAATCGATTATTACTGTCAGAATGAATGGTATCGCTAGAAACAGCCAGGGGGATCTAGTCGACACACTGCCCTAACAAAAAAGGCAAGGTGGACATATAAACAAACTCCTACTGGTACCACCGGAATTGGAACTCTTCTTTGGCTGTTGATAATAGGAGTGCATGTAGGAACTCCTGAGTGCTGTGGTGTCGGTTCTTGACTCACTTTAGC